GTGGTGCCAGTACGCACCCACAGTGGTGCCAGTACACACCTACAGTGGTGCCAGTACACACCTACAGTGGTGCCAGCACACACCCACAGTGGTGGACGCACCACAGTGGTGCCGTACACACCTACAGTGGTGCCAGTACACACCTACAGTGGTGCCAGTACACACCTACAGTGGCGTGTGTATAGCACCTCACACACTCCCTGGACACAAGCCTTCGGTTCACTCACCTAAATATTCAGCAGCATATTACCCGGAGACAGGAATTTGGGTCTTAATTTAAATGAACGACGTGTGTGTGTGTGTGTGTGTGTGTGTGTATGTGTGTGTGTGTGTGTGTGTGTGTATGTGTGTGTGTGTGTATGTATCCTTTGTGTAATTATTTTAATGTCCTATACATGTTTTTTTGTGTATGTATCTTTTGTTTGTTTACACATGTACATATTTTTTTGTGTCCGTTTACTTGATTTTATGTACCTGCATGCTTGTTACCTGTGTGTTTGTTTACATTGTGTGCCTCCCATAGTGCACCATTATGTGTTGTAAGTGTCTGTAATAACGCCTGCACGTGTGAGTGTTACAACCAGCCTGGGGTCCAAGTCTCATCTGAACCCACATGATGCTGCAGCCCTGCCCTGTAATCTGCCCCATGGTGTTTACTAAGTGTGGGGAGAGGGAGGTGATGGTGTTGGGGGGAGGGGTGGATGGGTGTTTGGTGGAGTGTTGTGTGAGGGGTGGGGAGGTAATTATGCCTACGTTCTGTGACCTACATTCTCTTGTCTTATTTTGCTAATTTCTCTTGTTGTCGCTTGTTTTCTTTCCTCCTTCTTTATCAGTTTTTATATCCTTTCGTTCACCTGTTATTCCATTTTTGTTCTTGTTTCTTCTAATAATCCCCATCTCTACCTCCTCCTCCACCAACCCTATTCCCTCCATTACCCTGTTCTCCAACACTCTCCTCCAGCACCTCCGCCTCCAACACCTCCTCCTCCAACACCTCCTCCTCCAACACCTCCTCCTCCAACACCTCCTCCTCCAACACCTCCTCCTCCAACACCTCTGCTCCCAACACCTCCTCCTCCTCCAACACCCCCTGCCTCCAACACTCCTCCTCCAACACCTCCCTGCCTCCAACACCTCCTCCAACACCTGCCTCCACGCCTCCTCCTCCAACACCTGCCTCCAACACCTTCCTCCTCCACCTCTGCCTCCAACACCTCCTCCTCCAACACTCTGCCTCCTCCAACACCTCTCGCCTCCTCCCCTCCAACACTCCTCTCCTCCTCCAACACTTCCTCCAACACCTCCTCAAATCGGCCTCTCTGTGTGCTAGTTTGGTTCTCTCTGTTGACGTTTCTGTCCGTGTGTCTGTGTGCATCCGTGTGTCTGTGTATGTTCAGGTATCTGCGTACGCGAAGTGTGTCTGTCTGTGCGTTTGTCTCTCTGTCCGTGTGTCTCTGTTCGTTAGTCCTTCATATCCTCTTTCTCCTGTGCCCTCTTCCTCTTCTTATTCTTCCTCTTCCCTTCTCCTTATCCTCCTCCTTCCCCTAATCATCATTTTCCTCCTCCACTTCTTCCTCTTCCACCTCTTCTTCACCCATCTCATCTTCCTCTTTACTCCTCCCCTTCTCCCTTTTCCTCATCTGCCTCCTCTTCCTTTTCATCTATTTCCTTCTCCACCACCTCCCCCCCCCTCCTCCTCCTCCTTCTCATCCTTTCTCTCGTTGGTCGCCCTTATCCTCATACCTCCTGCCTCATCCTGTGTAATGATGCCTAATCCTCCTACTACTTTTCCATTATCTTCCTCCTCCACTCCCTCCTCCTCCTCCTACTCCTCCTCCTTCCTTATCCTCTTCATCTTACTAATCCTCTTTCTTTCTTTCTCCTCCCTTTTTTCTTTTTTCTTCGTCTTCTCCTTCTATTTCTTCTCTTTCACCTGTCTTCCTTACTTCTTTATTCTTCCCTTTCTTTTCCTCATTTCCACCTGACCTTCCTTTCCTCCTTCCTCCTTCCTCCTCCTTCTCCCTCTCTTCCTCCTTCTCCTCCTTCCCTCCTCCTTCTTCCTTTTTTTTTTTTCCTCCTCTTCTCCTCTTCCTCCCTCTTCCTCTCTTCCTCCTCCTCCTCCTCATCACCTGCAGGGGAGTGGTGGTGTGGACGTTTTTCCAGCAGAATAAAACTTTGAGATTTGGTGACTTTAATAACACGACCATGTTGGGGGAATTAGTTAAGAAAATAAGCACCACCGAGTACTGCCAGGAGGAGGAGAAGGAGGAGGAAGAGGCGAATGAGGAAGGATGAAAAGAAGAAGAAAAAGGAGGAGGAGGCGGTAACCCAAAAGAATACACTACACATATCCATCCACTAACACACACACACCACGTACAGAACTTAACAAGGACGAACCTACGGACGGACCACCAAACAGCACAATAACCAAACATTTCAAACAACAATTATTATCACTAAGAGAACTACAGGGTGTCTCATAAACCCACTGCCCTACACACTGTCATCACTTGTAGACCCGGTACATCAACGAGTGAGGACAGTGTCAGTATTCACCTGGAAAATACGTTTGGTAGGAGGTAAACAATATATCTTACCTGTAGTGAACATTCCCTGGCCCCTCCTCACCTGGCTCTTCCATCTGGCCCCCCCTCTCATCTAGCCCCTCTCCTGGCCCTCTCATCTGGCTCCCTCCATCTAGCCCTCTCACCTGGCACCTCTCACCTGGCCCTCCCATCTGGCCCCCTCTCATCTAATCCTCTCACCTGGCACCTCTCACCCAACCCTCTCACCTGGCTCTTCATCTGCCCTCTCATCTAGCCCTCTCACCAAGCACCTCTCACCTGGCACCTCTCACCTGGCCCTCTCATCTGGCCCCCCTCTCATCTAGCCCTCTCACCTGGCACCTCTCACCTAACCCTCTCACCTGGCTCTCACCTCAAGGACCGTACACAACCAGGTACTGTACCGAGACTCACTACAGGTGGGTGTTGTGTAGAGGGCACTGTAATACAGGGACTACACTAACATTATTTAGGGTTGTAACTGAATACATAAGACTACAGTTTAAGATAAGTAGAACTGTATTATTATGGTAGAAGTTACAGGGTGTCGAAGGCATCTAACCTAACCTAACCCTACTCAACCTAATCTAACTTAAACTAACCTAACAATTCAACCCTTTTATATTTTCTAACACACATTAGAGAGAGAGAGAGAGAGAGAGAGAGAGAGAGAGAGAGAGAGAGAGAGAGAGTACACCTGTATATTCTACGACTATAATCTATCTCTCCTTTAATTCTTCTTCCTCTTCGGGGTGGGTTGTGTTGTGTTTGTTGGGGGTGTGTTGTTGTTGTGGTTGTTGTTGTTTTTTTTTTTGTTTGGGTTTGTGTGTGTTTTTTTTTGTTTTTTGTGTGTTTTGTCTTGTATGACTGATATGTGATGTTGTTATGTGTTATGCTCATAATTCCTCATGTCGTTTGGATCTCACTTTTTTTCTTATATCCCTCCTCCCTCCTCCCCTCCCCCTCCTCCCTCCCTCCCTCCCCCTCCTCTCCTTCCTCCCCTACCTCTTCCCTTCATTCCTCCCTCCCTTCTTTCCTTCCCTCCTACTTCCCTCCCTTCCATCCCTCCCTTCCCTCCCTACTCCTTTCCTCATTCCCCCTCCCTTCTTCCTCCCTCCCACTCTCCCTCCCTCCATCCCTCCCTTCCTCCCTACCTCTTCCCTCATTCCTCCCTCCCCTTCTTCCTCCCTCCCACTCTCCTCCCTCCATCCCTCCCTCCCTCCCCTAGCAATACGTAACTGAACGAAGCACAATTGAT